TGGTTGGGGGTCACCACCACATGAGGAGCTGTATGAAAGGGTTGCGGCATCAGAAGGTTGAGAACCACTGTTTTAGATGGCCTTCAGATTCTGTTTCCTGCTTGTGGATGGCTGACTTTATACCCCGCAGAATGGCAGAACTGACCCATCCCCAGTTAGAGGCCCGTATGCCTGATTTGCCTGCTCCCACCCAGTCATTTGGTAGGAGTTACAAAGACGGTGGATAGAAGTCCTACATCCCCTAGATTTCAGTAGAAAAATAAAATAAAAACCTTTACCGGTGAAAATAGCCTATAGTAGTTTTGAGGTAGTTTCCCAGTTTTTACCTCAGTAGACTTCAACCAGCATTCACTCATTATCTTTCACAATGTGTTGTGCCCACATTTATTAGGGAAACTCATTAATAGCTTCCCATACAAGTGTAGGACAAATTAGAGTGTATTCATTGGCTTTTGTTAATCCGAGATCAGTTCATCAGCATTTTATTTCTAAGCTACCGCAGTTTTCTTTAGCTGGAATTAGAGCAGCATGCTTCTGAGTTCACGTATTTTCTCTTTAACTGGAATGTAACGTTAACTGGAACCGTCTCCAAGTGACATCCCCACTTGTCAGAGGGGTTTTAAATAAGACTTTGGAGTGTCTTTGAAAAAGTGACCCTGGTTTCGTTATGTCCGTGTCCACACACGTCCCTCTAACCTGGTGCCTGCAGCCATCAGTCACGTAACCAGGGACCGTGTGGGCCGACAGGCTGAATGAGAGAAGGCTCTTTCGCAGAGCGTTTGGAAGGTGTGACCTCGCTGACAATACATTGCCTTAAGTTAAAAAAAAAGAAAAAGATAATTTTCCAAAGTTTAAAAAATGCGTTAGAGGGAGCGGGGATAGAGGGGGAAAATGAGGACCTAATGCCGGGGGCTTAAGTGGAGAGGAAATGTTTTGAGAATGATGCGGGCAATGAATGGACAAATGTGCTTTACACAATTGATGTGTGTATGGATTGTGATAAGAGTTGTATGAGCCCCTAATAAAATGATTAAAAAAAAAAAGAAATGAAGGCATTTAAGACAAGTCATGTATGTTCCAGAGGACATGCCTTTCCTTTGGAAAACATTGTTTAATTGGATGGAGGCTGTTGGAAAAAAGGAAGAGGTTTAAGATGGCATGTCATATTAAAGCAAACAAATTGGGATTAAAAAAAATTTGTTAGATACTAAAACTTCTCCCTAGTTACTGTATACTAAGTTTCTGGCCACAACTGATAGATATCGATGGATATTTCTTTGGCTTCCTAAGTCTCACACACACACACACTTGCATTCACTCACAAAGCATCCTAATTGGTAACCTAAGTGCTTGACTGGGTACCCTCCGGTCACCTGACCCTTCTTGTATTCTTGTCTCCCCAGATTCTGAGTAAGCTCAGCATGGTTGTTAAGTCAGGGGAACTGACGGCGGTGGTGGGAGCCAGTGGAGCCGGGAAGAGCACGGCACTGCAGCTCATTCAGCGGTTCTACGACCCCACCGAAGGCATGGTATGTGTCCTCCAGAATGTCCGCCCCCCTCCCCGCCACCCGTTCCTCCAGACGGCAGAGTGCAAACAGGATGTGCTGTATCGGCGAAAGGCACAGACCCGGCCGTTCTGAAACAGGCGTAGCTGATTGGGATGGTTTTTGACTGAATTACTGGACCAATTCCCCACCTGGGGCAGCGTTAGATGAGTAACCCGCCGGTCCACTCAGTTAGGTAACTGACGGTGAAGACGCCTTCAAAGAGGTGTTGCGGCCTTTTCAGTGAGCGAAACTTTCCATTTCTTTCGTTGTGTTGTGACAAAACCATCATCATTTTCCTCAGTTCCCCAAACACACCATGTAGAGAAGTGATCGTGGCAGGAAACCAGCAGAGAACGGCTCTTGGTTATGCTTGGGATCTGGTGTCTTGTAAAGGTGATCACTGATTCTCACGATGAGTCTACAGGCGAATGTACCTCCTTTATGAAGGAGGAAGCCGCAGCAGAGGTTGGACTTGCCTGGGTCACTCCGCGAATACAGGACAAAGTTAGGATCTGAACTCAGGTCTGCTGAGTGCCAAAGACTAGATTTACGCTCTCCCCTGGGCCTCACAGTGATGCTTGCCAGCATCTCCTATGTCAAATGGTTCCAGTGCCATGCTTCTCTATCATGTACAATGGCAAACAGGATGGGATTTTCCTTTGTTTCCTCGCGCATTTTATTCTCGGATCGAGTATTCTTTATTGCGCACCATAATAATTACACTCTGCATATATAGAGATCATACTTTTCCGATGTAAGATGTTTCTGCTAGTAGGTCTTTTGATTAGCTCATCCTACCTACAGCTTTGATTGCTTTTGTGCATCAAAATGTTATTTGATGATGCTAGTCAGAAAGTAAGATTTACTATACAGCCCTAACTCATACACACAAGATAAAAAAATCATTGTTTATAGCCATTGGGTCTTTGGAATTCGCTTTTAGTTGAAAGATAAAAAATCAGAGACATACAGTGAGTAACTGACTTTACAGGGAGTTAAAAACTCAGCCCTCCTGGGATAACTATTGAAGTAAGTGACCTTTATGTCATTTGAAGGAGCCCTAGTCATGTAATGGTTATGCACTGGGCTGCTAACCTCAAGGTCAACAGTTTGAAACCACCAGCTGCTCCTTGGGAGAAAGATGGGGCTTTCCACACATGTAAATAGTTACAGTCTCAGAAACCCACAGGGGCAGTTCTATCCTGTCCGACAGGGTCGATATGAGTCAGAATCAACGCGATGACAATTAGTTACCTACCCCCCCACCCCCCGCTATCATTTGTAAGGAGTCCTGATGGTACCATGGGTTAGATGTTGACTATTAACTTCAAGGTGGGGGGTTCAATTCCACCAGCCACTTCAAGGGAGAAAGACTAGGCTATCTGTTCCCATAAAGGCTTAGTTTTGAGACCCTATAGGTCAGTTACCATATCATTTGTACTTTTACAGTGAACTGTGCTACCTCTGTTTATTTCTGTTCTATACAGTCAGTTGTTCCTCAGTATCGGTCCAGCAAGATTAGTTCCAGAACCAGCGAGCACTCCTCCTCTCCAGTAGTCAAATCCAGAATGCATAAACTCCTTACATAAAACAGAGCAGCATTTTAATATAACCCTGCGCTAAATCGCCTGTAGAGCACTTAAAATAACCAAAAGAAACTAAATGTGAATAGCACTTTATGGTCCCTGTACACCTTTGAAGAATTGCTTTGACCATTTATTGTCTCCCTGCATCCCAAAATGCATTCCATTACCCTCGTCTGAATCTGTGAAATCCACGGATACTGAGGGTCGACCATATTGCTAATCTTACATAACCAACCACAGTACAGGGGACGTTGTTTCAGCTATCATTTTTGTCAGTCTCCCTTTTTTAATGAGTGCCTTTCAGGTGCAATATAATATTTATGCTTCAGGACCTTGAAAGATTCCAAAAGGTATGGTGTGTTTGTATTCTCTAGGTGACCCTGGATGGTCATGACATTCGCTCTCTGAACATTCAGTGGCTTAGAGATCAGATTGGGATCGTGGAGCAAGAGCCGGTTCTGTTCTCCACTTCCATTGCAGAAAATATTCGCTACGGCCGTGAAGACGCGACAATGGAGGATATAATCCGAGCTGCCAAGGAGGCCAATGCCTACAACTTCATCATGGACCTGCCGCAGGTACCCCAGCCTGGCATTCCCAGGGGAGACAAGATTAATTTCTCTTACGTGGAATCTTGAATAATTACATGCTTAATGGCATGTTTGAGTTTCACATCTGGAATTTTACCCTGAGTTTAACCTTTTGTCTAAAAATTTAAAAAAAGTTGGCCCTGCTCTATTAGACCTTTCTTTTACTATGCTCCCCGTGGCAAAGTTTTGAAAATGTCTGTGCTAGGCTGGGTTGTCTAGAGAAAGAAAACTAGTGACACTCGCATATGTATAAGAAAGAGCTTTGCGTCAAGAAGTGATTTTATATCAAGAAGGCAGCCCCAGTCTCTGGAGCTGCTGCCAATGTGTGCCCTCCTCAGAGTCACGGAGCTGCAGGCAGACGATTTGAAAAGGCAGAGGAGAACACAGGAGGATCACAGACCAGCGGTGCAGGGATCCCAGGGAACATGGCAGGGTGCTGACAGCTCAGAGGTTGGCTTCCAGGGTCAGCTTGCCACCTGGGGCCACCCCCGTAGGCAGACAGAGACCCAGCCAGGATGAAGGCGAAGGGCCAGAGACAGGAAGGACATTTCTCATATTCTTTCTTATAGAAAAGGCTACACCCCCAAGGAGGCATCACCAGCCTGTGAGTTGATGGATAGTTTGAACTCCGCCCCTACACTTTCATACAGGTGTAAGTTGACAGAAACTATATAGTTGCCGCAAGTCTGAGTCATAACCAAATACCTTAAGGGAATGAGTTGCTAGACCTGGGCCTCAGGACCATGGTCTTGAGAGATTCCAAAGTCAATTGGCATAATATAGTCCACAGAGACAATGCTCTACATCCTCCTTTGGCGAGTAGCTACTGAGGTCTTAAATGCTCCCGAGTGGCCTTCTAAGGTACAGCGATTGGTCCCTCCTTACCTGGAGGAAAGAAGTGAGATGAAAATCAAGGATGCCTGGAAACTATTAGTCCAATGGACCAATGGACCACGTGAACCTCAGCCTCTACCACCCTGAAAAGAGAAGAACTAGATGGTGCCCGGCTACCACTGCCTACTGCTCTGATAGGGATCCCAGTTGGAGCAGAGGAAAAATGTGGAACAAAACCTAAAAGAATAAACTAGACCAGGCTTCTGGTCTGATAGAGTCTGTTGGAACTCCTGAGAAAATGGCCCTTGGACACCCAGCAAGCCTGCGCCTTACCTCATCTCAATGTTTCAAGCGAGGGAGTGCTATGCTTACCAGGTGACCAGTAACACCAGTGAGGTATGCATTCATTAGAACAATCACCTCACCTCTATGAGACCAGAAGGGTAGCGTTTGCTCAGGAGTAAGGCTCAGGAGGCAGGAAGGGACAGGAAAGAAGGCTGAATGGAAATCGTAAGCACAGAGAGGATGTGGGAGTATCACAAATTAATATAGGCATTGTTGACTGGAAAACCAACTTGCTCAATAAACTTTCATCCAAATGACAAGGGAAAGTTAATAAACAAGATGCCCCTTTGACATCGACACAATGGCCTCTCCTCCATCCATGAGATGTCTGCCTGCCAGTTGCTGCTGAGTTCCTGCTGACTCCTGGGCTCCCTGCCTGTGCAGAGTGTGCAGAGTAGATCAGTGCTCCACAGCCTTCTCCGCGCTGTGATCTCTCAGAAGTAGACTGCCAGGCCTTTCTTCCGAGATGCTTCTGGGTGGGTTTGAACTGTCCACCTTTCAGGAAGCAACCAAGCCCTTAACTGTTTACACCATCTAGATACGGATGCTAAACTGACCAGGGGGCAATAGCTTACACAATGCTCTTGTCCTATCCCACCTCTCTCACTGTTGGCTCTTGTGTTTAGGCAGCTAAGATTGTGAGCATCAGTCTGGCATTCCACATATTTGAACATTCTAAATAACAACAGAAAAATGCAGACTTATTTTACAGAGATGAATTTCTCAGACATCAGTCTCCTAAGATTACTGGTCCTGAGTTGGAATTGACTTGGTGGTACTAACAGCATGTGATGATGTTCACTATGCTAAGGTTCCTCTTCCGATCTGTAGATGTGCATCACAGAACTCTCCTCCATAGGTTTCTCAGTGTCTGGTTGAAAAAAAAAAAAAGGGATTGGCAGCACCTCTGGGTGGATTTGAACCACCCACCTTTTAATTAGCAGCTCAGTGTGTTTTACGGGTTGTACCAGCCAGCAATACTGATTACGTAGCAAGTAAGAACAGATTCACATCCAGGTAATTTGGCTTCAGAGTCTGTGAACCCTTCCGATGATCAGTCTTCTTAATCACATCTAATCTAATGGTGAAATAGTCTAAAGTTGAAGAATCACTGTTTTGTTAGAAATCCCAGTTTCTCCACTTACAACCTTTATGAACTGGGGCAAGTTACTTTACCCTTTTTGCTCGTCCATGGCTTTGAGGAGCACAGTGGACTCACCTCACAGGGTGGCTCTGGGGATTAAATGATGGATGCAAAGGGTTTGGCACGTACCTTACAAATAGTAGGTCTTCAATGAATGTTGCCTAATAATAAGCAAGATAGACAGTGGTCTGATACCAATGATTTAGATCCCAATGTAGTGCCAGCACATCCGGTCTCAGGAAGTATTTGCTCTTGCTAGTCGCATCATTGCAAAGCTGCTTGATCTGTCATTCACCAGGTAAGGGAGGCTTTAGCATTGTGCTTTGCTGTGCTGACACCCAGAGAGGGAAGACAAGGCTTTGCTATGTGTAGTCACCATCTAAGGTGCATTTTTCGGGCCCTTAAGCACTTTTTACCTTGCGCTCGAAATTAGCCAGAAGACGGAGAAGCGATAGCAATTGTTACTTTAGATCAAATGTTTTCTTTGAAGATGGGAACGTGTATGTAGTCCACTGAACTTGGGACTGAATGCGTCAATCTCCTTATCTTATACACACAACGATTGACGGGCTGGAGGGCCAACAGTCGGTTTTGGGAAAAGGCGTTTCTTCCAGGGTAAGTTGGAGCTATGCAGATCCAGGCTTGTGGAGGAAGCAAGGAGCCTTCACAGGATGCCCCCTTGTTACTGGTGTCATCATCTTCTTCCTAGAAATTTGACACCCTTGTTGGAGAAGGCGGAGGCCAGATGAGTGGGGGCCAGAAACAGAGAATAGCCATTGCGCGAGCCCTGGTGCGCAACCCCAGGATCCTGCTTCTGGACATGGCCACGTCGGCGCTGGACAACGAGAGCGAGGCCACCGTGCAGAGAGCCCTGAGTAAGGTTTGTGGAGAGTCTGAGTTCTTGTCCCGGGTTCAAACCCCGGGGAACCGGAGCCCCGCTCATCAAGGAACACACAGGCCATCCCCTTGTCTGCAGAGTCCATATTTAGGAATTCAATACTTTCCGGAAGTTATCTGTGTCCTAAAATTAATCCTTGTGGCACCTTCCTGATAACTCACGGAGATTCAAAGAGGGGTGAAAAATCGGGGCTGCTTGGAGCACATGCTCCCAGCGGAATTCAAATAAGCCGACACCTGAACTTTAAGCACCTTTTTGTTGTTTGTTTGTTGTCTACTTAGTGAATCCCCCCACCCCCCATTTTGTTGGTGACATCGGTTAAAAATGCCCTTGAGTGTAGTAGTGGAGTGTCTAGTGTTCCTGAACTCAAGGGGTTGTGATGGACCTTACAGAGAAAATATGTGTGTTGGATAAACTTTGTTCAGGCATGAGTGGTGTGGTTGCCTGTAAGTTCAGTGCTAACCAATCAACCCTGCATACCACACGAGGGAGCCCTGCATGTGCAACTGGTTCGAAAGGGGGCTGTCACCCACAGACTCCGCACGTGGCCACCAGCGGCTGGCTCTGTGGGAGAAAGGAGGCTTTCTACTCCTATGCAGCTGCGCAGCCTCAGAGGCTCATGGGGCAGTTCTCCTCTGGCCTATAGGTCGCTTAGAGTCCAAATCCATTCGATGGCAGTGAGTTTTTGAGTTTTCTGGTAAGACGCTTCCTTTACACAAGAAAAAAAATTCCACATAAAACAAGGTTATGTACTGATTAGTTGATAGAATGTGGTCACCAGAGGTTTCAGGAGTGCAACATTACATTCCCACTAACATGAATTCAGTAGTTCAGAGTTCATGGAGACTCTCGTAGAAACATTACCTCAAACAGTGAGAATCAACTATAGTTGAATACTACAGGAATCAATGCATTCAGAGGGGCTACTTAGAAAACACGGACAGATTATAATTCCTTCTATGTCTGAGCGAAAGACAATTATAAAGTAATGCCAGAAACTGCACATGAAAATACAAAAATGTTGTTCAAACGGTGTGGTTAAAATTATTTTGAGCTGTCAATTGTAGCAGCAATCACAACAATGTGCAGTGGTGTTTCTGGCCACGAGAAAGGTGTGCGAGCCGTCCCTGACATCTGATAGCCTATTGGAGGATTTCCCCTGGCTCCAAGCCTCAGACATAGTTGCGTCTGAGATGATCCAAAGGAGAGCAGGCGCTCTGCCTCACAGTCTCCTCTAACGGCCCCCTGTGCATTTGACAGATCCAGCACGAACACACGATCATCTCTGTCGCCCATCGCCTGTCGACGGTCAGAGCTGCAGATGTCATCATTGGGTTTGAACACGGCATAGCTGTGGAACGAGGCACCCACGAAGAACTGCTGGAAAGAAAAGGAGTTTACTTCACTCTGGTGACTTTGCAAAGTCAAGGAGATCAAGCCCAGAAAGAAAAGGAAGCTCGGGGCAAGTGTCTTTCCCTTATGTGTACTTGTGCATCAAAGAGAGCAGATGCAGTTTGCTTTGTGGCTTCCTATGCATTTTAATATATCTTGTCTCTCGTTCTCAAAGAGCCCTGGCAGGTGTTATTATTTACCCCTATTTATGGGTGAAAAAGGAAAGAACTGAGGCAGGGGAGATCATGTTACTTGAGCTGGAAACCAGTTCATTTTTATTACCCTACTGCCTTTTCTTAACACTTTGCAAACAGGGGTGGCTTCTTAGAGGGTCCTGCCTGCAGTAGAAACTCTGTATTGTTGACTGAGTGAATTCATAAATGACAAAGTATTGGTTTATTTTAATTAATGTAGATACTCTAGGCCCTATTGTACCTTCTCTTCTTCAAACTGAATTCTCAGATTTGATGGTTAAAAAACCAAACCGCCACCACCACAATAGTAACAATAGTGATAAACTATTGCTGTGAAGTCCCTTTCGACCCACGGTGACCCCACAGGTTTCAGAGCGGACCTGCATGCTACACGGTTGTCACTCCATAGGGTGGATCCCAGGTCTTTAAAAAAGAATCATTTTATTGGGGGCTCATACAACTCTTATCACGATCCATCCATATACAGCCATGTGACAAGTACATTTATACATTTGTTGCCATCATCATTCTCAAAACATTTCCTTTCTACTTGAGCCCTTGGTATCAGCTCCTCATTTTCCCCCCTCCCTCCCTCCCTCTTGATGATTTATAAATGATTATTATTTTTTCATGTCTTACACTGTCTGA